TTGACTGTTGCACATCCTATTTTTAAACTTCGCCGACTTCCATTCACTTGATTGGAAATTCCATAATTCAATATACTGGTCGTATATTGTGTTTATTTTGACAATCTTACAGTGGTACCTCTTGCTTCCCATGGTTTGTCATGTTCTACTTGAATTTGCTAGGAATGTTCAATTAAAGGTTTCTAAGACTCGGAAAAGATTTTTTCTGAAAATTGTGCCGAATCTAAAGCTATCGTCATTAGGGGGATGTCCATTTATTGCCATGTTTTGACTGTAATAGAGATGACACAGTTTTGCTGGACGGGTACTTATTCCAATCACTGTGCATTATTCTTCTCACTGTTTTGTATTAAAGGCTTTCCTACTTTCTAGTCATTTGCCCTCCGAAACTGAGACACTAAATAAATGTAGAGAGTTTTGTTCTCTGATTCTCAGACAGAGAATACATACAGCCAGTTATGAGCGATAATAACAAGCTAATTCAGTATATGACATCGATGGAGTATCACCGATTACTGATTGGGCGTTTTCGCCACTGAAAGTCAAACATTGAAAGAGTTCGTAATTATCCTTTGGGCCGAGGAAAACGAACTGACATGTTCTCGTCTGATAGGTTGATGTTACTGACATTCCTACGGATGTTGCTTCTAGGGGAAGCTGATGCAACGGATTAGATTGATTGGTTAAGGGTTGGCCGTAAACATCTTAGCCATATCAAAATATTATACCTCAAGTATTCACTCACTTTACTTGTATTTTGTATTGAATGTCGAAAAATTTTGCTTATTTTTTCTGTTTCACTATCTAAATAAAGATCCATCCACTTCTAGTATAGTTTCTCCTAGCGATAGAACAAGAGGTGCCCATCGGAAGAAAAGTACTGTTCAATAAAATATTTTTTAAAAATTTTCCGCTAAATCTTTCCGTTACATCTTTGATTTAAAATCAAATCAATTCTTAAATGAAGTCAACATCAAAAACATGTGGGAGATCCAAAGGAAAATACCTTTCAGGATCTACTGTTTCCATGTACTTTGAAGGATTTTATTTATTCGCTTTGTTAACTATCTTCTAGTGACCAGTCTCCGGCTTTTTCAAATCTACATAATGATACATTACTATACATAACGTCGATGCATATGCATTACTATTTGAATCAGTCTATCTGAATATCATCTTTCTAAACGTTCCTATGATAACTATATGCACAATTTTGATACAAGTTAGCAAAAGAATCGAAGATCCAGCTTCACGATCTGAAGCATCAGAGACATTGGTTGATATCCCCTGTCTTTTATATTGAACATGAGATTTCAATTCCTCTGTAGTTACAATAACTAATAAATAGTTATACATAGTATTCATCGTGTTATGAAATTACTTTCGTGATACATTCCCGGTGTTCTAGTGAGAAGTCATAGCGAGTGGAATTCAACCAGGTTAATAGTATGACATTCGTTGTTGAAGCCATTGAATGGTGTTCATATTTTTTCGTAAATTGACCGAACATGGAAATGTAACTCATTCCATTCCGTATTATCTTAAATTGTTGTCTTAATTATAAATCTTTGGAAACGATAGACTTAATCTCTCATAGCATTAATCAACATATAAAACATTTAGTTGATCATTAATGTGGATTGAATTCTACCAAGAATTCAACAGCTTACTTCAGGCGCAATATGTCTTGAAGTATGAAAGGGATACTGTCTATTAACTACTATCATAAAGCATTCAACTAATCTCTTCATACAATTCCAAGATAGGAGTATTAATATACCACTGAAGTTTTTGTAATATGATTTATAAATAAGGAATTTTGTAGGAATGACAATTAGTAGTACAGTTGGTTCCTGTAATCCGAATGTATTATTATTGTACCGAAACTTATCGTTTCAAAATCAACCAATCAGATAGTTATGAATGATGAAGGATATCCATCAGTTCAAGTTTATCTTTATATAATCACAACTCATTCAGTCATGGATGAAGTAGAACCTGGAATATATGTCCATTGACAAGGGGTTGCCAAATCATAATACAATAGTAAAACAGAATGTTTGAACATGAATAACAGTAGAAGTATTAATAATATCAGTGATGAAAGACAACTGAGCATAGAGACTATTCAAGCAGAAAAAATGGACTCATGGAATAAAAAGTGTAGAACAATCTAGAACTCAAGATACAGACGAAAAAAGAATAAGCAGATCTGCATCATTGCGGTAGATCATGATACATCTTAACTAAAGTTAGAATAAACGCATAAACTTCGCCGAGGCGGATTAAATTCACCAGCACATGTTAGACCATCATTTATTAATTTCAAGGATTGATGCCACATTTAGGTTTGCCTGTTCATAACTCTCTTCCAATCTAATTGTTATAACTTTTGACCGCCGATTAGAGAGTAGTGACTTATCTATCGGACCAATGACGCGTAAAACCCGTAGGAGCAGCTTGGAGTCCTGATTGGTATTGCTTCCTGTCTTGCCAAGCTAGTTAAGTCCAGAAAACCAATCCTAGTCTGTGCGATATGAATCATGTATTCCAAATATACTCTGTTTACATACCAATCAAGCAAACCACATCGTACCATAAAATAGGAAATAAGATATGTACAAAATTTGGCCAAATGTGACTGTGGATGTGGGAGACAGTGACTAATGAACAGGGCATAATTTAAGAATGGAAAATCGTATAATAACAGGTCAAAATGAAACTCATAATAAGAGGGACATGAACATGAACAGTATACGATAAAATATACCTATAGTATTGATCCACAAATGAATCCCAAAAATTGCCACTCATTATTCTTATCGGGGCATAATACTAATGCTATCACAACCTGAGTTGAAAGACCCCCAAAATCCTATCAACCTGTTTACCATCTCTGTCTATTTCTTCATGTCGTCTATGGGGATTAATCACTTAGTGACCACATCACAAACGGGCAATATTTTGAAGACATTTATGATCGAGTACTAATAACTTATGAATGTTTTCTACTGTTTTCGAAAAGAAGAAGCACATTCCAAACATGCTTTCATTGTTACTCAAGATGTACAAAAAAAGCTCAGTTCAAAAAAGGAAAAACTAACTTACTAGTAGTACCAATGATAGAGAACTATGCTTAAGAATCATAGTTTGAGTAGAATGAATAAAACATAAGGATGAAAGTGCGCTGGTGTTCGAAATTCCAACTTATGGAAAATAATAAAAACAACAGACACCACTTCAACCGATTTTGACCAAAGTTCTCCAAACATCCTTACAGAATCTGAATAATGCCTAAACATCAACATAAAAGTCACGCCGCTCAACATTGCGAAGCTTAGTAGTCAATACTGATTCATTCATTTCTGTACTTCTTCCTACTTGATGCTATGTTAGTTATCATCGAATGTACGAGGCAAGCAGTACAAGGCATAAATAACACTTAACTGAAATACCTAATTTAATGAAAGTCTGTAACCTGATCAATATAACCACCATTTCTTTGTAATTCTAAAAAGTGTCTACCATCACTTACAAACAAAGACTTGTAAACCACGTATTCTTTCACAGCAATAGAACAATACGAAGAAAACTATTGAGTCGTAGAGATTTCTGCCACAGAGCCCACCATTCAATCAATCAAAGGCAGCGTATAACCTACTTCTTTTAGAAGAGGCAAGGTATAGACAATAGGATTCAAGAGGATGGAAGGAATTCAAGGCTCATCAAGGATGATAAGACTTTCAAAGTGAGTGAACTGTTTAAGACGATTACTCTTATTGTTAGTCAAATTGAGCAAACCAATCGTTAGGAAACATACAAGTTGGGTTTTTTGTTGTTATTCAGTAAGTTTAGAGCATTCTAAATAACCGTCGGTGTTTTTTTCGAAATAAACTGACTTATATCATCTACATATGCAATTAGGCTAAATCTTAATTATTGTTATTATTTGAACACATAAATATTGGTACAAGGGGGCACCAAATATATATACGCCACATAAAACAATCGGAATTTAAAGAGAAGGGAAAAAAGGAAGGAATGTAGGGAATTACAAAGAAACAATTATGGCGGAAACGAAAAGGTACAATCAGAAGAAATTTTTCAGTTAAGGAAGATATACCACTTTTATGAAGAAAGTAAAAGAAGGTTACAGCAGGATCGCCAATGGCTTCTATTCTGAGCCATATCTGATAACATATCTAGCTGTGTCGCACCATCTCTCGGACCCCAAACAGGGAGTCGTGAAGGACCAACACAAGCCAGCCCTTTGCAACTTTCTTAAATACCACGACACCACGTCATACACTGACCACCTATCCGCTTTTTACAACCAGTCCCAGAGTTGGCAAATAATGCACAACGTGGAATTCACTGGGATGACATTCGTAGAACATGTCCAAGCCACCGAAGTCGATGTCTCAAGACGGTGACAACAATCGGATTATCGTCTCTGTGCCCGAACACACGATGCCGGATCTCTGCATTACTGACATGGTGTTGCCACTGAATGTCAGCAATCCTTCGGAGACAACGATGATCGAACACAGAGAGTCGTCTAACATCCTCAACTCGGAGAGTCCAGGTTAAACAAGCATAGAGCAGTACTGCTCTCACAGACGCATTGTAGATGCGTTCTTTTACAACCAGACTGACATCACGAAGGCGCTAAAGGTGGCCCAGATTGACATAAGCCACTCTGGCTTTCACTATACGTGCATTGACCTCATCACTCACACCACCACCAGCACTTATGTAGCTACCTAGATACATGAACATCTCGACTACTTCTATCTGCTCACCATCCAGGGTGAGTACAGGATTAGAATCCTGCCAGTCTTGTAAAAGTACTTTGCACTTCGAAGGTGCAAAGCACATACCATACCTACGGACATTGATTGCCAACTGATTAAGTGCGGATTGCATAGCTTGGGCATTCTCGCACAGTAAGACAATATCATCCGCATACTCAAGGTCGAGAAGTCTTTCTCCAGGCAACAGATCCACACCACCATTAATTATTATTATAATTATTTACATCTCAATAGATCATGAACAAAGTGAAAATTAGGTTATAATATTTCATTTAAATATGTTCATTCATTACAAACAAAAGTAAAGTAAAATATAGTTTGATTTAATTATCGCCAAAATCCCCATAGACCACCACCGACTAAACGATCAAATTCTGGTACACTAGGAAAATACCAATAATTCCCAGTGACACATTTAGTAAAACGCATGACATCGTCATTTTTTCTATCTTCACTATCACCAGTCATTCGATCCAACATAAAATCAAAATTCTTTGTATCAGCTGCATATGCAATAAAGAGTAGACCAGCATCACCGGATAATGTACCATATGGTTGAGATTGTCGAACTATTTTGTATTTTGATGGAGCATCATAATCGGCAGCTAATTAGTGTTAGAAAAAAACAAAAATCGAAGACTAAATTATTGAATTCAAAAAAGATCTGATCCACAAGGCAGTGGAGCATCGTGAGGAGATGCAGTCCTATGGTAGCCGATTACCGAAAATGGGCTCATACGCCATTTGTTCGCTCAGGATATTGAAGCCCATATGCACCAGTGGTTTGGATTCGATTAAAGCTTCGAACATTCTCTTTTTATCCTCTCATTTTCGTAAACAACACCTCTGCCACGAGAAGACAGTGAGTAGGACTTCCCTGGCAGAGGCTGTATACTCGTGGCCATGTGAGAGCATTTTGAGAGGGAGGGCGGGCCCACCCCACTCTCGGCCATACCATGGCATTTGGGGGGAAAGATTTGAAGTTCAGGTAGATACTTGTGATGGTATATTATCCTCTGAGCTACAGAATTAGATTTTGTCTACATTTACATGAATTAGATACTCAAGAAAGTGTTCACAATACTAATGAAAGGTTTATAATTGAGCCGTCTACCGAAGGGGATATAACACCAACAGAAAGACATACAAGTAGATGGAACTGAAAACTAGGATACAAAAAAATAGGTATATTATAGTGTTAAATGATTTGAACTCACTACAGTCTGGAATCTGTTGAAAAGTAAATAAATCTTTGAATAATTTCCTTCAATTTGTTATTTATTTATTCAACTGAACAGATAAATATTGGTACAAAGGTGCATCGAATACATATGCGCCACACAAGTCACTTGATTTGTGTGTGGACTATGATACTCTACGGGTACTCAAACCGAAGCACGTGGTTTTCTTAGGAGGGGACACCCAGAGACTTCGACAGAAAGGTCTGATCCACAAGGCAGTGGAGCAACGTCAGGAGATGCAGTCACATGGTAGCCGGTGACCAAAGATTGGTTCATACGAAATTTGTTCCCTCAGGATATTGGTGCCCACTTGCACCATTACTTTGGAATCAGGGTTCTCCAACTCCCCAAAGTGGACTCGCCGTACCAACCAACCTGGTTGAAGGGCAAGACATTCGTTTTTCGTACTCTCAATCACGTAAGCAACAGCCCTGTCACAAGAAGGCAGTGAGTAGGACTACCCTGGCTGTGGATGTATACGCGAGGCCACGTGAGAGCAATAAAGTAAATGAATATAATTATTACCTGAGAGATAAACCAATTGAAAGAGAAATAATGTTACTTACATCCAACCATTCTAGCGACATGAGACGTAATAGGTTTGTTCTTCAACTCGATACTATCTTTCAATGTTCGACCAATCCATCCTTCCTTGGTGTGATCTATAAATTAAACCTTATAACAGTTACTAAAATGTAAATCCCATAGGAAATTTCTACCTGTTACATACGTGTTGATGAATCATCGTTTTTTAGAAGTGAATTAGTATCAGGTTTACTGTAAGATCAGAAGATTGATTGATCACTGGGCATCCATCCACAAGAGGCATTGACAATTAGATTGAGTCATTTGGATAGGTTCTAATGATCTGATGGAACTATTTACCAGTTTGTTAGGAGACGTTTAATGACAGGGATCAAAATCAATCACAATGACGTAGATTCATTCACTCTTTATATTCTCTTATATCCTGATTTTCAATATCATCTTATGTGTTCTCTAACCTGTGTATACCTGATTTTTTCTACAACTTCTAATACTGTCACTACTTCTAATAGGGTATGGCAACTTGAAACTATGTATATACATACGCCAGATCCTAACGTTGTATGGAACTTATTTACTGACTGATGACTGGGACATGACTGACTTCTTTTACCAGTGAGATAATTACATTGATTGACTATCTGAGTGTCATGTTTATCTAGTTCTTATTACGAATGATTGAATCCCATCGACCAAGTTGTAATGTAGCCAACTGTTTTAAGTAACTCGACATCGTATGCATGGTATTTTGATAACAGGTGGTTGGAGGTAGTCGGGAAGAAACAAAAGATTTGAATTCCACGTCATTTTTGGAATATGGTCTAGAGAATTCTATCAGGACCAATGAATACATGAACATCACGTCGGGCACTATTCAGCAATTCATGAATCAAAATATCTTAGTTCTACCGAAAATCGATAATTGGTTGAGTAGTGATAGTAACATCTTGGATTTGAGCTGAGCGATTCGAGTTAGAATCCCAGTGTTAGAGTCCCTTAAAGACTGGCATGTACATCTTAGAGACAAATACCAACTGACAAGAAACATAAATCCAGGGTTTCCAGACGATCACTACTTTCAACTGTCGAAGATCAGAAAATCATAATTCCTTACTGTAAAGAAATAAGTGACATTTATATGAGGTTGCCTATAGTGAGGGAACAATCGCAATAAATGAAGTATTGGTAGAAATATTTGTTCATTTTCAGAAGACAAATCTATAATATACTCGGTTATGTTAACCAAGTTACATAGAATAGATCTTCAATAGTTTTTACATCTTACAGAGGTTAAGCGACTTAAATTACTGAATAACTCACAGCATTCTAGTTTACAATGATTTTTTGGTTGTTGTCATATTACAATACAGAATAATCTATTGGTTACAAAATTAGACGGCTAGTCAGTCAGTCAGTTAGTCAGGTACAGACAATGTAGAATCCTGGCATATATGTGAAACAGTTTGAGTAACCTCAGTGAAATGAAATTCTTAAGGTAGGATTAGCAGAAGTAGTGGTATCAGTTATAGTAAGAAACATTAAGGAAAGTGATGATTTGCGAAAAAAAACAATCTCAAAACTCAGGTACACAATGGTGCATCTGAGCTAATGTGAATAATGCTAAATCAGGTCGCACAAAGTTTCCAACAAGTGATTATGAATAACAAATGAACTCCAGCCAGTTTGTCTATACCCGTTAAAGTCTTAAACATAAACTGATAACACATATGGGGTTTGGACGCCCCAGCCTTCTTTCAAATTCATTCTATGCCGGCCAATGTTGGGCATTGACGTAAAAGGTGATCTGGGCTATGTTATACATCTACTAGTCACTTCAGTCGATGAAAAGTTGCAGCTGCATCAACCGATTTTCTATCTTTACCTAGTACCTAAGATAACTTAATGAGCTTTTGGAATGAGATACAGACAACATCCTCTAACAAAAAGCACACTCAACTTTTCAACCGTATTGTGTTGATCCCTATCAGTGAATAGTTTCGAATCGAAACGAAATATCTATGCTCCATACTTTTAAAAAAAATTACATTCATTGAATTATAATCTATGAATCAAACAGTTGAACTACTGAGTCAATACAACTCTCTCAACCTAATCGACTGCGCAATCATATTACAGAAGACAGTTCGTCATATTTTCAGTGCTTCCAGGTTTTTCATGGTGGTCTACCTTCAATTGACTCATGATTTCAACCAGTGAAATTTCTAAAATCTTTACAAAACCCTTTCTGATAATAATCATCTACTCACTAGTGACTGACTTCAAGAGATACTCTTAGAGTTCTAGTAAGAAGCCGTTACCAGTGAAGCACAAACAGGTCCGGAGTGAGATATCAACTCACTGAAGACAATGATGAATGTGTCACTCAACTTCGTGGATTGGTTAAAGTTAGACATTAACACCGTTGGATAATGGCCGGTTCAGTAGTCTAATGGTTAAGCACTAGCACGCGAGACTGATAGGTCCTGGCTTCGAATCTTGTGAGGTTACGGAAGGGATCATGGATGCACACTGCCACGGAGGAGTCTCATACTAAAACGTAAGGGTCGTCCAATGCTTCCAGATTGTTCATGATCATCTATCTTCAATTAATTCATGATTTCAACCAGTCAAGTTTATAAAATCTTTACAAAACCCTTTCTGATAATAATCATCTACTCACTGGTGACTGACTTCAAGAGATACTCTTAGAGTTCTAGTGAGAAGCAGTGACCAGTGAAGCACAAAAAGGTCCGGGGTGAGATATCAACTCACTGAAGACAATGATGAATGTGTCACTCAACTTCGTGGATTGGTTAAAGTTAGACATTAACACCGTTGGATAATGGCCGGTTCAGTAGTCTAATGGTTAAGCACTAGCACGCGAGACTGATAGGTCCTGGCTTCGAATCTTGTGAGGTTACGGAAGGGATCACGGATGCGCACTGCCACGGAGGAGTCTCATACTAAAACGTAAGGGTCGTCCAATGCTTCCAGATTGTTCATGATCATCTATCTTCAATTAATTCATGATTTCAACCAGTCAAGTTTATAAAATCTTTACAAAACCCTTTCTGATAATAATCATCTACTCACTGGTGACTGACTTCAAGAGATACTCTTAGAGTTCTAGTGAGAAGCAGTGACCAGTGAAGCACAAAAAGGTCCGGGGTGAGATATCAACTCACTGAAGACAATGATGAATGTGTCACTCAACTTCGTGGATTGGTTAAAGTTAGACATTAACACCGTTGGATAATGGCCGGTTCAGTAGTCTAATGGTTAAGCACTAGCACGCGAGACTGATAGGTCCTGGCTTCGAATCTTGTGAGGTTACGGAAGGGATCATGGATGCACACTGCCACGGAGGAGTCTCATACTAAAACGTAAGGGTCGTCCAATGCTTCCAGATTGTTCATGATCATCTATCTTCAATTAATTCATGATTTCAACCAGTCAAGTTTATAAAATCTTTACAAAACCCTTTCTGATAATAATCATCTACTCACTGGTGACTGACTTCAAGAGATACTCTTAGAGTTCTAGTGAGAAGCAGTGACCAGTGAAGCACAAAAAGGTCCGGGGTGAGATATCAACTCACTGAAGACAATGATGAATGTGTCACTCAACTTCGTGGATTGGTTAAAGTTAGACATTAACACCGTTGGATAATGGCCGGTTCAGTAGTCTAATGGTTAAGCACTAGCACGCGAGACTGATAGGTCCTGGCTTCGAATCTTGTGAGGTTACGGAAGGGATCATGGATGCACACTGCCACGGAGGAGTCTCATACTAAAACGTAAGGGTCGTCCAATGCTTCCAGATTGTTCATGATCATCTATCTTCAATTAATTCATGATTTCAACCAGTCAAGTTTATAAAATCTTTACAAAACCCTTTCTGATAATAATCATCTACTCACTGGTGACTGACTTCAAGAGATACTCTTAGAGTTCTAGTGAGAAGCAGTGACCAGTGAAGCACAAAAAGGTCCGGGGTGAGATATCAACTCACTGAAGACAATGATGAATGTGTCACTCAACTTCGTGGATTGGTTAAAGTTAGACATTAACACCGTTGGATAATGGCCGGTTCAGTAGTCTAATGGTTAAGCACTAGCACGCGAGACTGATAGGTCCTGGCTTCGAATCTTGTGAGGTTACGGAAGGGATCATGGATGCACACTGCCACGGAGGAGTCTCATACTAAAACGTAAGGGTCGTCCAATGCTTCCAGATTGTTCATGATCATCTATCTTCAATTAATTCATGATTTCAACCAGTCAAGTTTATAAAATCTTTACAAAACCCTTTCTGATAATAATCATCTACTCACTGGTGACTGACTTCAAGAGATACTCTTAGAGTTCTAGTGAGAAGCAGTGACCAGTGAAGCACAAAAAGGTCCGGGGTGAGATATCAACTCACTGAAGACAATGATGAATGTGTCACTCAACTTCGTGGATTGGTTAAAGTTAGACATTAACACCGTTGGATAATGGCCGGTTCAGTAGTCTAATGGTTAAGCACTAGCACGCGAGACTGATAGGTCCTGGCTTCGAATCTTGTGAGGTTACGGAAGGGATCATGGATGCACACTGCCACGGAGGAGTCTCATACTAAAACGTAAGGGTCGTCCAATGCTTCCAGATTGTTCATGATCATCTATCTTCAATTAATTCATGATTTCAACCAGTCAAGTTTATAAAATCTTTACAAAACCCTTTCTGATAATAATCATCTACTCACTGGTGACTGACTTCAAGAGATACTCTTAGAGTTCTAGTGAGAAGCAGTGACCAGTGAAGCACAAAAAGGTCCGGGGTGAGATATCAACTCACTGAAGACAATGATGAATGTGTCACTCAACTTCGTGGATTGGTTAAAGTTAGACATTAACACCGTTGGATAATGGCCGGTTCAGTAGTCTAATGGTTAAGCACTAGCACGCGAGACTGATAGGTCCTGGCTTCGAATCTTGTGAGGTTACGGAAGGGATCACGGATGCGCACTGCCACGGAGGAGTCTCATACTAAAACGTAAGGGTCGTCCAATGCTTCCAGATTGTTCATGATCATCTATCTTCAATTAATTCATGATTTCAACCAGTCAAGTTTCTA